TGTAAAAAGTCCATAAAACATAATGTCCACAAATGTCCAGTGAGCTCATTTAGTCCATGACTCTGGGATCCCTCTGTCTGGTGGTCTCTCAGGACAGGAGTGGTGGTGTGTTGTGTGGAGTTACTGGTCCCTCAGCCAGCTCAGGTTGGGTCACTGCTGCACTCGCGCTGCTTCTTGTAAGGCTTGTCCTCCGGGGGTTCGGGTGGTTCCTGCTGTAGTAATTTCTATAACATGCAGCTCAAATCATGGGTCACAACAATTTGAAGGTATTTCCATTACAGTAACCACCCCTGGTCCCTTTGGACCAGACTGTCGGGTTTAACACTGCAATGAACTCCTCCCCTTGCGCCTGCTCCAGCGTGGACTGTGCCGTCCCTTCGGGCTGTACCTGCTCCCAGCGGAGCCTGAGCTGTGAGCCACAGCCTCTCCAGGGGTGTATCTGCTGCGGCACAGACGTATCCACAGCCACCGCTGCTCGGAGGTGCGCTTGTTTCAGCGTGGCCTAATCCATGGGCCGCAGCGCCTTCAGGCTGAGAAGGGTGTGGGTGACCGTCACCTATTCTTGTGGGAGATACCTAGCACATGAACTCTTGGGCACAGAAGTTGCCCTTGTGGAGGGTTTGATGCAGGACAGCTTCGCCTGATTCCCTGCTGCATCCAGGGCTAGGATGGGACTGAGTGTGCTCTTTAGCAAGAGCTTCATATGTCCTGGAAACTTCTGCTGAATCTTCAGGCACCTGAACAGCTTACGTGGGATTCTCCCAGCTGCCTTCCTGACATATGTTTCTGAAGTGGGCATCTCCTGGGCAGAGGAAGAAGTGCAGTGCTTTAGGTGCCTGTAGTCCAACCGCATGTACCTGCGGAAGGGATCCGGCAGCACCTACTGTTGTTGCATCGTGGTAACCTGCAAATCAGCCCCCTCCCATGGGGAGATGAGAAAGGCTGCAAAAGCCCTGGGCCCATCTGGCCAGCGGGACTAGGTCCTGAGGCCATGGCAGGTGTGAGTGGGCCAGGGGAGCTGCCACTGTGGTGTGTCAGACTTGAGGCTAGTTGAGAGCTTTAGAACTGGTGACTTGTGCCCTTAATT